CGAGGGTGGGTCTTCATTCCCCAGACAACCCTCTGAAGAGATTATTGCTGTAAAGCACAGTTAATCCCCCACGGGGGCCAGTGCAGGAGATGATGGGGATGATGGGGAGCTCTGCTCAGACACCCAAACTGTCTGAGCACAGACCCTGGCCGAGAATACCCTCTGCAGCCCTGGAGAGTTAAGGGTATGAATAAGGCAAACTTGCAGAAATAATGTTATTTTGCAGCTTTCCTTCTGGTTGTGGAGACTGATGGGCTTGATCCTTCTGGGGGCTGAGATGAAGTTTTTTCTGCCCATGGAATGGAATAAAATGAGAATTCATCCTGGAGAAAAGGAGGCTGAGGGGAGACCTTTTCGCTCTCTCCAACTCCTTGAAAGGAGGGTGTAGCCAGGGGGGGTCGGTCTCTTCTCGCCAGGAACAGGCCATGGGACAAGAGGAAATGGCCTCAAGTTACATCAGGGGAGGTTTAGAATCATAGAATCATCTAAGTTGGAAGGGATCTGTAGCCATCAACCTAACTCTGATTAAAAAAAAAACCCTTAACTGTAACCATACAAAAGAACCCCCCACATCACTAAATCATGTCTCTAAGCTCTATGTCAACCCGTCTTTTGAAAACCTCCAGGGATGGTGCCTCAACCCCTTCCCTGGGCAGCCCATTCCAAGGCTCAAGAACCCTTTCAGTGTCAAAATCTTTCCTAATCTCCAATCTGAACCTCCCCTGGGGCAACTTGAGGCCATTTCCTCTTGTCCCATGGCCTGTTCCTTGGGAGAAGAGACCGACCCCCCCTGGCTACACCCTCCTTTCAGGGAGTTGTAGAGAGCGATGGATATTACGGATATTAGCAATGGATATTAGGATAGATATTATGAAAATGTTTTACACTGAAAGGGTTACCAAGCCTTGGAAGAGGCTGCCCAGGGCAGTGGTGGAGTCACCATCCCTGGAGGGATTCAAAAGCTGGGCAGAGGAGGGGCTGAGGGACATGGGTCAGTGGTGGTTTGGGCAGTGCTGGGTTGATGGTTGGACTCGATGATCTGAAAGGTCCCTTCCAACCCAGAAAATTCTGTGATTCTGGGAATGGAATGGAATAGAATTTTTTAAATTGGAAAGGAGCTACAATGATCCATCTAGTCCAACTGCTTCACCCCATCAGGGCTGACCAAATCTTTGCACTTTCTTTGTGTACAACCATGACCAACCCTGACTGTCGCACTGCATCAGCCTTAGGTGGTGCAGATAATGTGAATTTTCTGAAGTTAGATGTTGCTTTCTCAAATTTTTGACTGTGAAGTTGTCATTTCTGAGTGATGCCCTGGGTCGTGCCCTTGGTGAGCTTTAGTTGCCCCAGGGCTGTGTTGCTGCCTTGGATCTGGCCCTACGCTTTTGCCTTTTAAATAAAGTCAAAATTGGTTGGGTTTAAAATAGCTCCTAGAAGAGATTAAGTCTGTAGAGCAGTCGCTTCCAGCCCGTGTAGCAGTACTTATATCATCCAGGGCTGTTCAGAAGGTAAATTAATCCACAGGGAACAATCCTAAATACCTGATTCAATGAAGAGTTTGCACATAAAACAGCTTTAGTGTAAAAACAGTGCAAATTATGTTTAAAATGAACACAAATTGATGATTAGAAAGGGGACCAGCAGGATTTATTAGCTCTTTTTTCTTTTTTTTGTTGCTTCATTTAGAGAAAACTTATTTTGACACATAGTTATTTTGGTTTTCCTCAGTTTGATGTACTGGAAGATGACTGATTTCAGCTGCTGGTGTGTTTCTACAAAGATTAATTAGACATATACTGAGATAGGTTTTTAAAATTAATGGATTTTAATGGATCAATGGCTTATTTATTTCTGCAAATAAACAATGTACTATGCCTAACACTACAGACCCTGACATTGTTGGGATGAGTAACGAACAGGCACTGTAAGAATGACAGGTCTTGATTTATTTTTCTTTTAATGATGATTTTGTGGCTTTAGAGATAAACAGTTAATTCTAGTTCCTATTACAATGTCATTTAACAGGTGTAATTAAGCTTGGCACCTCGGTAGGCAGAGCCCCAGGACCGGGAAAGTCATCCCTTCCCTATTTTATCAGGTCTCTATGGGTATTTCTGAGAATTTAAATGGAATGCCTAATGTTAGGCAGGGAGATTGTTGCTGTACTCAACGTGTAAATAGGTGGCTGAAGTATGGAGTTCTGCACTTCTGGAGGCATTTAGAAAACCAAATTAAAGAACCCTTACCTGCATCTTCCTGAGGTGCTCTTTGGCTGGAACTTCTTTTCTAGGCTGCTTACTCCTAAAACTTGGCATAAAAAAAAGCTTTAATCTAAATGATGTGACTCTGGGGAGTAGTTCACTGTTTGTGTTTATCACAGAATCACATGGGGTTGGAAGGGACCTCTGGAGACCATCCAGTCCAACCCCCTGCCAGAGCAGGTCCACCCAGAGCAGGTCCCACAGGAACGTGTCCAGGGGGGCTTGAATGTCTCCAGGGAAGGAGACTCCACCACCTCCCTGGGCAGCCTCTGCCAGGGCTCTGCCACCCTCACAGGAAAGAAGTTCCCCCTTATGTTTACGTTCAAGTTTGTGCCTATTTCCTCTTGTCCTGTCACTGGGCACCACTGAAAAAAGCCTGGCCCCATCCTCCTGACACCCACCCTTGAAGTATTTATAGGTGTTGATCAGATCCCCCCTCAGCCTTCTCTTCTCCAGACTAAAAAGACCCAAGTCCCTCAGCCTTTCTTCATCAGAGGGATGCTCCAGGCCCCTCATCATCTTTGTAGCCTCTGCTGTCCCCTCTCCAGCAGTTCCCTGTCCTTCCTGAACTGGGAAGCCCAGAACTGGTCCCAGTGCTCCAGATGGGGCCTCCCCAGGGCAGAGCAGAGGGGCAGGATGACCTCTCTTGACCTGCTGGTCACACTCTTCCTGATGCCCCCCAGGATGCCATTGGCCTTCTGGGCCACCAGGGCCCATTGTTGGCTCATGGTCATTCTACTGTCCACCAGGACTCCCAGGTCTTTCTCCTCAGAGCTGCTCTCCAGCAGGTCAACCCCCAACCTGTACTGGTGCATTTTATTGATATAAAAGACAAATTCTGTGCAGTTTGTTAACGAGGCAGCAGCTCCCTTGGTTGAGGAGTGGGCTCCTGTGAAGGCCGGGAGGCTGCGGAGACGTTGCGGGGGGGTTTGTGCCACCAACAAGGAGCGGTGGATCCAGGCTGTTCTGTCCAGGGACAGATGGCACAGAAATTAGCAGAGAATTTGGACTGGGAAAGGTATTTACTGCAGCTAAGTGAAAATGACGGCTTTCAGTGGATTTAGCAAGTAGATCTACAAGCACAGAGCACATCTGTGGCTTCAGAATATTCAGGGTTGAGTTGAATTTCAGGGTTTTAAATAGCACTGGAAACATGTGTGATTGGGGCGATGAGAGGACAGTGAGATCTGGTTTGTGAGCTCTCTTTATTTTTTTCTTCTTTTCTTTCTTTTTTTTTTCTTCCCCCCCTTAAGCTAGGGAGCGGGCGAGTTTGACAGACTCAGATAAGCTGTTACAGGCGTTGGGACCTTCTCTGAATACCTAAGATGGTCTGATGGTGACCTTGAAGGAAGGTGTGGCAGAGTAAAGATGAAAGGGAAGTCGATAGCCCGAAGGGAGGTGCAGCCAGGGGAGAACTGCATCGGCCCCCAGGAGGGAAAATACTGGGGGGGAGATGATGTTAGTGGTGGGGATTAGAGAATCATTGAATCTTGGAATGGTTAGAGTTGGAAGGGACCTTAAAGATCTGGAGCGGGTCCAGAGAAGGGCGACAAAGCTGGTGAGGGGTCTGGAGAATAAGTCTTATGAGGAGAGGCTGAGGGAGCTGGGGGTGTTCAGCCTGGAGAAGAGGAGGCTGAGGGGAGACCTTATTGCTCTCTCCAACTCCCTGAAAGGAGGGTGTAGAGAGGTGGGGGTCGGTCTCTTCTCTCAAGTCACAGGCGACAGGACAAGAGGAAATGGCCTCAAGTTGCGCCAGGGGAGGTTCAGGCTGGATATTAGGAAAAATTTTTTCACTGAAAGGGTTCTCAGCCCTTGGAATGGGCTGCCCAGGGAGGTGGTTGAGGCCCCATCCCTGGAGGTGTTCAAAAGATGGGTTGATGTAGTGCTGGGAGGTCTGGTTTAGTGATGATGCTCCTTGTTTGTTGTGTGGGTGTCTATTTTTGTCAGTTAGGTTGACGGTTGGACAAGATGATCTTTAAGGTCCCTTCCAACCTAGAAGATTCTGTGATTCTGTGATCATGGAGTTCCAACCCCCCTGCCCTGGGCAGGGACACCTCCCACCAGAGCCAGGTGGGTCTAGTATCAGCAGAGTATTGTCCCTTCTCAATGTGAAGGTCAATACAGCAACAATGAGAAATGAAATAATGAAATAATATGGGTGAAAATGTGTGGATTGCAGTTAATGCTTCACAAAAACCTGCTGTCCATCACAGGAGACATTGGGTTCTGTTCCTGACCCGGACTGATCCATGGGAGCTGCGTGTTCGGACACGTCGGGGTTGGGGTGGGGAGTTCAGTGCCTACGGCTTTTCAGGGTCAACAATACAAGGCTGTAAACTTCTACAAACATTCCCTGGAAAGGGGGTAACTGGAATGCAAAATAGAAGGTATAGGGAGCACTGAAAAAGTTTTTTTTCCATAATAATTTGTGCTCTCTCTGGAATTGCACATTCCAGTACAATGCTGCTACGATACAAATGATTCTTAATGCTCTTTGTGATTACAAATGGCTTTTAACAGTATGAGCCGAAACGTTATAGCCTGAATGTTCTTTTAGAAGTAGTAAGCAGAAACAGTGTCATTAAACTAAATTCCATAATCTCTGATTTATGTGAATGTGGAAAATATGATGAACATCATTTTTGGCTCTCGCGTTGCCCCAGTCAGCGTAGAGCAGCGTGTGTGCGAGCGACTCTCTCTTTGTTACTCATTTTGTTTATCGTTTCTTCCTTCAAGCTACTCTGACAAGCTACTCAGAAAATGTGGAACGCACCAAGTATGGAGGGGAAAGCAGTAAAGAACTTGGGTCTGGAGGAAACCTGAAGCCTTGGCAGTCCCAGAAGTCCAGCATGGACTCCTGCTTGTACCGCGTGGATGAGAACATGACGGCGTCCACCTACAGCCTCAACAAGATCCCCGAGAGGAACCTGGAGACGGTCTTGTCCCAGTCAGTCCAGTCCATTCCTCTTTACCTGATGCCACGGCCAAATTCAGTAGCAGGTAAGAAAGAAGCATTTTTTGCCTTTGGGTGAGAGCGAGACGCGGTACGTGTGTGTCACAGCCTTGTCCATGTTCCCGTTATCCAAAGAGAAATCTCCTTTCTGTAGTCATCATCATTAAGCGTGACACAAATTGTCTTTTCGTTTGACTTACTGCTTCTAAATGGAAAATTCCTGTGGGTAGAACTGGTTCTGATGATGTTTGATGCTTATTTCACCAGTCTGTGGTCAGTTTTTTACAAAATTGTACAACTATAAGATAATTGGAGAATAAAAAAAGATTTTAAAAAGAGATTCTTTGCTATTATTACAATGCAAATAATCTTGGGTTTAAAGTACCATGTAATTCCAAGGCATCATGGCCATTTCTACTCTTTCAAAGTCTTCGTTATGACTAAAATCGAGTGTCTGATCTTCTCTGAAGTTCATAAGAGCTTTGGAGTAAGAGAATTGAGATGCTTTCTCTGGCCAGAGAGGTTGTGGTGGATCCTGTCTCTCTTGGTGGACTTCACCCCAACCATCGTAGCACACCCTTGTGTACTTGCTGGTTTGGCTTTCACAGCCTCTGGCGTTTGCTAATTAATGATGGAAATGTTTTGTTTTGGCATAACATCCCCATTTCCTTCATTTTATTTTGCCTCTGCTGTTTGAAAGATTCCTAAACGATGCTGTGACACATCTTACCCGCGTCTTTTCACAACCTGCTGAGCTCCCCCCTGAAGTTGGGAACAGCAGGACAGAAACAAGACATGGGATTAAAAATACTAAAGCTTTGCTGGAAAGCTGCTTGCTGGGAATTATTCTGCTTTGCTTTACTGCCCTGTGTTTTTTCCTGGCTGGGTAACTGCTCTGGGGCTAAACATTCCCTTGAGGTGGTCGGTCTGTCTGTACAGACACCTGGAGAAATTCAGGCTTTATCTTTTTGGGCAGTGGGATGGGTGCTCCAGAGGGTGCAGGCTGGGATATCATCCCTTCAAACAGCCTCTCTGGGCAGCCCGGGCTGTTGTGTAACGGGATTGGATTTGCTTTTTAATCCCACTTTTGGCCAGTCACCGGCCCAAATACCACGTAGAAATGAGAGTTTAGAGATGCTGAAATCTGGGCACCCCAAACATGGAGGTACGAGGCCACGTGCTCCATATGCCTGAAAGCCTTAAAGTTTGGGAATTCAGAGTGGAAAGAGGGTGACAGGAAAAAAGTGGGAAACTCCACTTGCCCGGCCTCGTTACTTTGGGTTCATTTTTTATAAACTGCGTAAACACTTTGTAAAGAAATCAGGGCAGGCCGGGTACCATAAATATATATATGTGTGTGTCTTGGTTTAATTGATTTTGAAAGTCTCTCGCCTGATGCATTTAGAGGCAAATCCTGTGCCAAGAGAAAACTATTTCACCAGGATCGGGAGCACCTTTTCCTTTTGGCTGGTTTTGTTTTGTCTCTCGCCTGATGCATTTAGAGGCAAATCCTGTGCCAAGAGAAAACTATTTTGCAAGGATCGGGAGCACCTTTTCCTTCTGGCTAGTTTTATTTTGGGGGATTTTGCTGCTTTTAAGTAGTATGTCCAGTAGCACCGTTCATATCCCGAGATAAATCCCTGCGTTAGTAACTATGGGTAAACTATAGTATAGTATAGTTGGGTATAGTATAGTAACTATGGACAAAAACAAGATTTGGCTTGACCTTTTATCACTTTTATCACCTGTTGTCTCCTATGAGTTTATAACACCAGAAGATGATGTTTTCTAGGTAATAGATTTACATGGGTCTTTTTTCCCAGGCTGTTTAACCCTGTTATCTCTCTGCTTGATGATGGGAGAGGGAACCCCTGATGTAGTTTCATGGTTGACTTAATCCTGTCTGTGAAACGTGCCGTTGCCCAAAGAGTTAATCCCCCTCCCTCTGCCAGCCCCACGTCCTCACCCAGCGCTGCGGGTCGGGCAGCCCTTTGAGAAACCAGACCAGCAGACTAATCCCAAGGAACATTCACCCTCCAGAAAACATGTGTATTAATTTTCAGCCACAGGTTCATTAGCACAGAGGCACAGCGTGGCTGGGAGCGGGGCAGAAAGCTCCCTTTCTTTTAGTGGTATTCCACATTTTAGGGTAATCACAAAACCACAGCTTTGCTAAAACAGACTGTTCTTGTCTTTTTTTTTTTTTTTCAAATGCAGTTGAATTTATATACAAACAGTCTATTCTTGGGAACCAGAGCATGGCAGCACTTACACCTTGTGGATCTTTATTTTTCTTCTTTTTTCTTCTTTTTTTTTTTAAAGATTTGAGTGTCTTCCAAAATGGTACAAAAATGTTCTTTCTTTTATCAGGCTCACAAACAGCAATCACTGCTGTGTAACACATCCCTTCCCTCACCCAATAGCTCACAACTGGGAGAGCAGTGATCTCCTCCTGCACTTCTAGTGGGAGGTGGCCCTGCCCAGGGCAGGGGGGTTGGAACCTGATGATCTTTAAGGTCCCTTCCAACTCTAACCATTCTACAATTCTATGAATATTTCTTCAGAAATAGTTACAAGCGCTTTTTGGGGAGAAATAATTCTCTTGGAAAAGAAAAACGAACCAACACGGCAGGCTCTTGTTTCCCATAAAATGCCAAAGTGGGATGTCAGATTTGGAAGAGCACGTCTGGGTCTTGGGAAATGGCTGGGATTCGCAGGTTATCCTGTGTGTGACAGGAGTTTTAGGAAAAGCCCAGTGTCTTTCTGGTGGGAAAAATATCAAAGTATTATCAAAATATCAATATGCCATGGGAGCGTGTATGGTGAGTGATACCCCGTGTGTTACCGCAGGGGGGACAGACCCTGTTTGGCAATTTTTTGGTATTAATTCCAAATTGGTATTAATTCCATAATTGGTATTAAAGATCATGGAGTTCCAGCCCCCCTGCCCTGGGCAGGGACACCTCCCACCACACCAGGTTGCTCCAAGCCCCCTCCAACCTGCCCTTGAACCCCTCCAGGGATGGGGCAGCCACAGCTTCTCGGGCCAACCTGGGCCAGGCTCTCACCACCCTCACACCAAACAAGTTCTTCCTAATATCTAATCTAAATCTCCCCTCTTCCAATTTAAAACCATTACCCCTTGTCCTGTCACTGCACTTCCTGACAAAGAGTCCCTCCCCAGCTCTCCTGTAGCCCCTTCAGATATTGGAAGGGGCTCTAAGTTCTCCCTGGAGCCTTCTCTTCTCCAGGCTGAACAACCCCAGCTCTCTCAGCCTGTCTTCATGGGAGAGGTGCTCCATCCCTCTGAGCATCTTCATGGCCTCCCCTGGACCCGTTCCAGCAGGTCCATGTCCCTCCTGTGCTGAGGACTCCAGAGCTGGACACAGAGCTCCAGGTGGGGTCTCACGAGAGCAGAGCAGAGGGGTAGAATCACCCCCCACAACCTGCTGGCCACACTTCTCTTGATGCAGCCCAGGGTGGGGTTGGCTTTCTGGGCTGCCAGTGCACACTGCTGGCTCGTGTTGAGCTTCTCATCCACCAACATCCCCAAGAGTAACCCTCAGGGCTGTTCTCCAGCCACTCTCTGCCCAACCTGTATTTGTGCCTGGGATTCCACGTCCCAGGTGCAGGACCTTGCACTTGGCTTGGTTGGACTTCATGAGGTTGGCACAAACCCACCTCTCCAGCCTGTCCAGGTCCCTCTGGATGGCATCCCTTCCCTCCAGCATGTCCAACCGAGCTTGGTGTCATCGTCAAACTTGCTGAGGGTGCAACTTTTTAGTCATAAATTAGAAGAAAATTAGGGAAAATGTGAGTATAATCTCTCTGCACTGATACTGTGTTTGAGGGGGGAAAAAAACAACCTTAAGGAAATTCATGGGCCAAACCTTCTGGTTCTCTTCCCCTAATTTCCCACATTAACTGCTCTCAATTAAATTTTAATTTAGTGCCACCCCACTTCAGAGCCAGCCCCCCTGGAAAGGCAGCAGGGGCAGCTCAGTCCGTTCCACCTTCAAATTTCCTCAAGCCTTTTCAAGGTAAAAATGCAGTTGAGCTCCTGAGGTTGGTTCCGTGCCCCGTTGGCCACTGTCTCTCTGGGCACAGGGAAGAGCCCAGGCTGGTGCCACATCTGCCTTTTTTTGTCTTTTGATATAGAAAAGGTATTTTTGATCTCCGTAGGGAATCTTTTAAAGATCTTCTTCTTGAGTTAGCATTTCTTTTGCACTTTTCTTTTGTTTTTTCTCACGGGTTGGAGGAGCTGAATATTCTTTCAGCAGTTTTTAGTTACGTCTCTTTGGAATTCTGCGAATTCCCAGGGTTTTTAACAACCTGCAGATTTTTTTTTTTTATATTTTCTAGATTATACTCTTTCTGCCGCTTTACTTCTAAAGTCTTTTTGTTTTTTCTCACGGGTTGGAGGAGCTGAATATTCTTTCAGCAGTTTTTAGTTACGTCTCTTTGGAATTCTGCGAATTCCCAGGGTTTTTAACAACCTGCAGATTTTTTTTGATATTTTCAAGATTATACTCTTTCTGCCCATTTACTTCTAAAGTCCTTATCGATTCAAAAAGAGAAGTGGTTCCCTCCTCTTATCTTTGGAGGGAACCCTTGTTGCCTCAGCGCAGCCCGAGAAATGGAGATTTTCATCAGCTGAAATGCACAAAAGCAGCTGGAATGAAAGGGCTGAGGAGCTTTCATCGGAGCCAGTGAAACGTGTCCCACTCCGGGCAGAGGCGAGGAACGGGAGCCCTTCATGGGTATTGGCCTCAATCCCTCAATCAATGAGAGTTTCCCATCCTCTCTTGGAGTTGGAGAAGATTTGCCCAGATTTAAAGATTTTTTAAATATATTTAGGAGTTCATAATTTCACCAAAGTTACTTGGATTCAGGGCGGTGGGCAGAGGCGAGGAACGGGAGCCCTTCATGGGTATTGGCCTCAATCCCTCAATCAATGAGAGTTTCCCATCCTCTCTTGGAGTTGGAGAAGATTTGCCCAGATTTAAAGATTTTTTAAATATATTTAGGAGTTCATAATTTCACCAAA